TATTCATGAACCAGGAAAGCCATGTCAATTCGTATAAAAACTAGCCAAGGTTGAGGCTAAAAATTCAACAACATGCGGAAACCAGTTTTTCAGGTGCCTGAAAAAATAAATTGACCGTACTGCGATTGAAAAATCTGCCCACCCTTTACCAAGATTAATTTAAGTCTGATAGACTTCACTGATTGATACAATTTCCAGTTCTTATCGTTGAAATGGAACGGTTAACAAACTAAACATTAAATATAATTGCACTAGTTCCCACTGACTGATATATAAGTAACACCAAGATAATATTCACTGTTCATCCGCTGTTTTCGTTCCAGTGGAATATTTAGAAGCTCCTCTTTATTCAGAATACATTATTTACGAAAGTGTCCTCTAACTCTCAATTTTGAAATTCAGATATAGTCGCCTTAGTTTCTTCCGTTGTCTAAATAAAGTGGGACATAAACCAAGTCAACAATATCCGAGAAAACAAATAAAAGAAAGACGGTAGATAAAGAGAAAACCCGATACTCGTTCGAAAGGGAATAAGAGTATTATCTGGTCGTTGAGTATTACCAAGCGTTCAGAAGAGTCAACGATATAATTAATTAATGGCAGACTCCTGAATGCACACAGAGGCTACAACTTTAAAGTAAGTAATCTTTAAGTAGTTCTTATGATTCTCTACAAGCTGTACATTTTCAATATATTTATTTTGTAAGTCGCATAAGTGTTATCATCATTACTGCTGCTGTATTTTGATCATCATCATCATCAATTTTTGTGGTGCTATTGTGTTAGTTGTTATTATTATTGCTCTTGTTCTTTACATTGCTTTGACTTCAGATTTACGTGTTGTGGTTTTAACTGGATTTGTGTAGCTGTCATATGCCATGTCGTGGAATATCGTTTTAGGAAAAGTGTTATTGACAACACTGTTCAACTAAAACAGCTTTGTGCTGAACGTGTTATGGCTCACAACCCCTTTTTTCGATTTGAGTAGAGATAATTATGGCAAAAGTGGCAAGTTTAAAAGTCCTGTGTGACGAAAGAAGAGGAAGAGCTTGAGTAACTGCAGAGAGATATTTGATGAGTCTGCCATTTATCAAATAGAGCTCAATTTCCCATTGCCTGCGCCATATGTTTTATAGAAATTACAGTTTCTTGAATTCCCCGCACCCAAAAAACTGACAACCAGAAATGCGGTGCGGGATAAGCAGACAATTCTTAGCCCATTTATTGAACTAACCAACTAATCACAAGACAAAAACAACTGTTTACACTGTTTAGACACCAAAAAATTAAACAAGCTCTACACGTTCGATGCGGCCAAAGTAAATTGAATAAAAAAACAACTTATAATGACTGTCAATCATCAGGAAAGCACAACTAAAAATCGTTACGAGGAAATGGACTACAGGATTCCAACCAAAAAATAAAGAAGAACAAAATTTAATTGTCCGCTTGTAAAAATCCACAATGAAACTTGTTTACTGTTCAGCGAATATATACTTGCTAGTTTACATATCACACTTCTTTCCCATAATCTCACGCCGGCACTTAAAACACACTGCCGACAAATGCACTCGTGCTCGGGAATTCAAGAAACCATTTATCTTTTGTTTCATTACGCTTCGCTACATTCAGGCAAAGATAAATGAACAAATTGGTTGCCATTCGGCCCCGCAGTCCCGGCAGATACACGCCATATGAATTTATTCCTAATTGATTATTGTTGTTTGTATCATTTAATTAATTTGAGTGCTGTCGGGAAGTTGTTCGGGGGATCTTTTTTAAACTGTATTGACTGCTTTTATTTAATAAATAAGTACCTAGGAGGGTGTGAACGATCACCTCCGCGAAACTTTCTTACATCTTTAAATTAATATGATTTTTTTACTTCTTTAGATATAAACATGGGTCAGACATATCGCAGAGAGGAACACCCATTTTTTTTTTTTTCTGACGTCTAAAAGGCTAAAAATTTCTTGGCCTTGAAAAGCATTAGCTTGCAATAGCCTGGATGAACCCACTGTGAATCATCAGTTTTCAAATTTTCTGTTACAAAACTACCAACAACTTGTCTGTGTAACTCCCATCTCTAAATGCAGCAACCATCCCTCAAACCTTAACGCGGACATTGCGGTTCAGTAAAGTATACCTTCTTTTTATTCTCAACAGAGACCTTCTTCGGTCATCCCCTTGGGGTTTCATACATCTACTTATTTTTTTTTTTCTTTTGTTCAGAAACCAATCGCATATTAAATTACGTTTGCTGGCGCACTTTTACCAAAAGAACAAGGAAAGAAAGAAAAAAGAAGAATAAGTAAGAGTAAAAGCCACATCTGAGGCACAATGTTAGAAGAGAGAAGTTCCCTTCAATTTTATGTCAGCAAAGAAAAACAAACGCACCCATTTAGATTGCAGTAATGTCGAAACAAATATCAAACCAGCCACTTCAAATGAACAATTTTAGTCATTATCCAGATGATTTACGAAGTAACTGAAAGTGTAAAGAAATGCGCCAGTAATAGATAAATAGGCCTATCATCAGAACCTTTCCAAGAAAAACACAAATTAAAAAGAAAAACAAAAAACCAACACCTTACCAAAAAGCCTTGTATTACCTCAAGGCATAAGTTAAGATATCATTAATCGACCTTTTAGCTACTTTCTGTATTTCAAAATGTGTAGTTCTCAATTTTTATAATTTCAAGATTTAGTAATGTTTAATTTTTTCATAGGACATATTTTTTTGTGTTGTGTCTTCTTTTAATTTATTTTGGTGACATACCGGATAAGTTTTTTTCGTTTTCTCAATGGTCCATGGTTCATAAAGGATCCTGTTGGAATTAACTGTCCCTGTATTGTCCAGTTGTTCCTTATTTATTGTTGAGTATAAGTTAAAACAGGTAACACGTGATCTCATTAAGGAAATCCATAAAGTGTGCTTCGGATTGCCACAAGCTTCCGCTTTTCAACGCGCAGCTTATGACCCATAACACGATGAGCGCACCTTAGTCAGTAACAGTTCTGATTTCTGTGGCCTTAAGCTGCAAAGTAGGTAAGTGAGTTTACTTTATTTCGGATTTATCCGAGAGAACGCCCATGTTATAACTTAGATTAGGCTCAATCTTGAAGATCAATTGAATGATAAATAAAACGGGTTAATGCATTAAAAAAACAAAACAAAAACAAAGCAAAACAAACAAAACAAACAAACAAAAACAAAACAAGAAACAGTCAATATCGTTTTGTGCGAAAATGACAGATAAAGTGGGATATTTTATGACGAGTAGACTGCTTTACCACTCTGTTCAAAGATTTCGGCTGATGAGTCGGGAGTGGTTGTCACAAACAGCCAAATAGTAATATCTGGAAGACCCTGAGGCCGGATGCTAATGAGCTGCATTCCCATCCAGATTCTTTGTAGCTCACGTTGCTAACTCACGAATGATCTTTTGACTTCACAGATCCACTGAGATCGATTTCTCGTCGTTGTAGAACTTGTGAGAAGTTAAAATGAGCAGAAGCTATTTTGAATGTTTTCCTCTTTAGGCTAGTTTATAAAGTAGGAGGGCCATCATGTAAATAACCGGACTTAAGGAAATTTTCACCCATTTGAAGTTTATAACAACGAAATATTGCTCATGTCGCGAGCGTGATGACGAGCAGACATTACGGTATTCTTCACCAGTTGTAAGACATTCCTTAGTAAAAAAAGAACCAATAAACATTCCAAAAATGAAAAATTGAACCCACAGGAATGAAAAATTGAACCCACAGGAATGAAAAATTTCACTTTTCTTGAGTTGATGCGGGGTTAAACTTTATATGCGGTTTTGAACGCGTAATTTTTATCTTTAGAAACCAGAAAAAAAGCTTTCGAAGGCTGCTTTAGTGGAGTAAGCTTGTCGTGTAAGCGTTTAGTTAGAGAAATTCGTTCAGTCACATTACTGAAAGAAATTTCGTGAAATGGAACGCACGCCAGGGAGAAAATTTTATCTATGCATTCAATACGTAATACCGACGAAGACACATTTAGCATATAAATCAGCATGCCATTTTAGAAATCACCTACGATAAGAAAAAATAACAACTTACGCTTTGTGGCCAACTGTATTCTTGAATTGAATCCTCAGCAAAAGTGTCAGCGTCTGCAAAACCCATTATCACGGTGTATGCAAACACAGCAGTTTGAGATTTATCTCAAATGAATGCGAATTCATTTTAGATGAAAATCTTATATTACGTAATATTTGAGGGTATTAGGCAGCCCACAAAACAGAGCGAACAGTCACAAAGCCTAGTTTCCGTTTCCGGACCAAATTAGGAACGCATAGTTCCTTAACAGCTAATTTTTACATCAAAACGAGTCAGCTGGTCATCCATTCAATAACTAGATGAACCAGAAAAACAATGTGTCAGTTCATATACAAACTAGCCAAGGTCGAGGCTAAAGATGAAGAACTTGCGGAAACCAGTTTCTCAGGTGCCTGAAAAAATAAGCTGACCCTATTGCTATTGAAAAAATCTGCCCACCCTTTACCAAGATTAATTTAAGTCTGATAGACGTCACTGATTAATACGATTTCCTGTACTTATCGCTGAAGTGGAACGGTCAACAAAATAAACATTAAATATAATTGCGCTAGTTCCCACAGGCTGATATATAAGTAACACCAAGATAATATTTAGAATGAATTATTTACGAAAGTGTCACAGTGTATGCAAACACGGCAGTGACAGATTTATCTCAAATGAATGCGAATTAATTTTAGATGAAAATCTTATATTACGTGATATTTGAGGTTATTAGGCAGCCCACAAACAGTTCCTTAGCAGCTAATTTTTACATCAAAACGAGTCAGCTGGTCATCCATTCAATAACTAGATTTTCGACACAGTGGCCTATATCATGCTTGAGGCATATTCTCACCACAGTTATGTAATAATAAAGGATGTAAACAATAACATGTCTGTTGGCATGTTCCTGTTTAAACTGGGAGGAGAGGATGGGAAAAGGAAGCCTGAAAAACGTTAATTTTCACACGAAAGCTATATTTGATTTAATTTTTGTGGGTACAAATAGCGTGGCCTGGTTAACCTTTTCTACGTAATACTATTTATAGTCAATCAAGAGAAAACAAAACCGCCTGTTATAAAAAATAGAACAGGAAATAGTTTGGACTTTGACATTACTGGAAAAAAGATTCTCAGAATAACATAGACAACTAAAAGCCACACTGTACGTCATTGTGGCCTCAGCATTTAGATAACTTCGATGTTGCTAAAATGTTTTAAGTTCCTTTTCGGGTTTAAGCAAGAATACTTTAAAAGAGAAATATGTGTTAATTCTCCTTAACGTCTAAGTATTGCTATGGCGACATTCACGGTTCATGGGTATGTAATTTCATATGGAGCAATCAGCAATCACCTACCCTGAGTGTAAATAATTGAACCATAATTTGAAAGCTCTCAGCAAACCTTTAAGCTAGCATTGGCGGCCCTCAATTCCATTCCCTTGTAAATGACGCTGGAATGAGGAACACGAGTGTAAGGTGACATCATCCCCTGTGATGCATTGTTAACGCGGATCTTATTCTCATTTTGTGTGTATTTCATTTACGAATTTATTACCTGCGAATATTTTACGCTTCATTAGTTACATCGTGTTCTTGTGGTTGATGTTTTTACCATTGCGTGATGTTACATAATTATGTCGAGTTATTTGTCACGTTTTGTGAATAAAATATAGTCCTGTGGATCAATTTTTTTAAGAAGCAGCGTCGTCGATTTTTGCCTGTAAAGCTAGCACCGTTAAGTTAAATATTCATAATATATATATATATGTATAGCTATATGTATATGGATATATATAAGTGAAAGAATCAAAGAGGACGCATCGATTCTCTGTTACTCTGAGTTTCGCGCCTAAGCGATCGTTAGACAGAACTTTATTCAGTGAAGAACATACCTCATTATATACAAATTAGATAAGTAGCTAATTAATTCACCAGTGTAATGATCTGATCTACGTGTGAAATAAAGATTCTATAGAGCTATTGTTGGCGGCTTGTGAAATTTGCTAAGTAAAACTTACTCTCGTGGCGGCATTTAGAAATGAGTTCCGTTCTTTTGTTTAATAAAGATGGCTTCTTAGCTCTAAGCTTCTTAGCTTAGCTACTTATCTAATTTGTATATAAGGAGGTATGTTCTTCATTGAATAAAGTTCTGTCTGACTAGCGTTTAGGCGCGAAACTCAGAGTAACAGAGAATCGATGCGTCCTCTTTGATTCTTTCACTTATATATACTCAGCTCTGCTACCACAGCATTGAGCACTTTATGCCAAGGTAGACTCTACCCCCACATTTATATATGAATATATATATATATATATTTTTTTTTTAATTTTTATTATTTTTTTATCGTGAGTTTATTTGTAAAGTTTCGTTTTCTAGTATGTATTTTCCTACTCATGTTTAGTATCGTAGGCTTTTGGATGTTTTTAAATAGATGGTAAACACAATTACGCGCGACTTCGGTTACATACCTGTAGAATTTCGGGATGATTGGGGCGTTCGGACTAGTGAATTGACAGCGTTTTGCACCCAGTGACACCCAGTGCGAGTGTTGAAGTCAATTTCATTTGACATGTGCGTTTTTATGCGTGCCGAATAGAGTACGAGTAGAGACTGGACTTCAGCCTTACTTAACATGGGCGTTTTATGAACACCGAAACTAAATCTTTTGGAAGAGCAACTCTGATAAGCACAGATATAGTGCAAACCAAGACTTAGAAGAAAGGATTTTGTGTTACTTGAAATACAAAACAAAGATGTGGTGTTGATTGCAAATAGGACCAGAACCTAGTGTTCATCACGTGTTGTTAACAAGCGAAGAATTTAGTGTGATCACCTTTCATTACGCAACGTTATGTAACTAGCAGTAAAAATATATTTAGTTGTCCATGTTTCTTAGGTTAGATTAAGTTATGTAAGTAGGTAAGTAGTTGCGTATCTAACGAAAAATTTGTTCACGTTTTTTTAAAACGTTGTTCTTGGCACAACCGAAAAAGGGTAGGGATACCGTATTTACTCGTGTATAAGTCGAGCTTTTGTGACCAAAAGATCAGTCCAAAAAAATCACCCGTGACTTCTACACGAGTCACACAAAAAGACCTGACCCAAACAATCCAAGAAATTAGCATAGCAATTTTCTGAAATCCGTTAGGAAGACCGAGTTTATAAAACCAGTTCGAATTGTGTTCGTGTTTCGTCACTTTTCAGCGCATTCTTCGTCCACGAAAAAGTTTCAAATAATAGTTTTGAGTGGCTTCACACAAAGCTACTGGAGCTGATTTCTATTGTGTCTTCGGACTGTAGAGCAGACATTTTTTCATACAGCTTCGCTGTTGTTTACAGTGCTGAACTTACAGTAGCTTAGTAACCTGGCAAATGCTATTGTCCCGCGCGATCTTGTTCTTTACGCGCGATCCTTCGAAGCTATTCGGTGTTCCTTCGGTTTACTTAATCTACTTTCACACTCAACATTAAGATAAAGGTTAGTTAAATGCAAGATTTCATTTTCAATACATTCCCAGAAATAAGAGATTAACTTTTGGAACATTTCCATCTGTCGGAATTTTACTTCTTCGACTAGAAATGATGAAAAATCCGATTTTTGACCTTTAAAATGAGGGTCGACTTATATACAAGTTCGACTTATGCATGAGTAAATACGGTACGTGTGCGCCACATCGAAAGATCGAAAGAAATCGAACTTTCGGTTAAACCGCTACGAAAGGACAAGGCATCAAACCTCTTTTTTCGAAAAGATGGAATGAGCTGCTTCCAAAATTAAAACATCCATCTGTAGCAGTTAAAAAAGAGAGAGGTAGATTCGAACATCATTCGTCCCTGGTGCTGGTACTTCTGAAGGTATAATCGCGGTGACACATACACTCTTCAGTTTGGCATCGATCCTGATAATTTACTTACTCGTTTTGACAAAAAAAAAAATGCGAAGAGGATCGCCCGCAAATAATCGACGGGATTCTTATCATATCTAAACAACTCAAGTCAGTCCCATGAGGGAAAAGATATGAATTGCTGTTGCGTTAAGTTAAATAACGCTACTTAAGCAATGGTCAAACAGGGTAAGGATTAGGAAACCCGCAGTGCTCAGTTTACATAGCCTTAAGATTACATAAGAATTCAGCTCCAAACAAACTATGTCACCGAAAGGACAGCGTTTAAAGCGAGAGCAATTCGATGAAGCAGTATCTTGCATGACAAATATTGAGTAACCAACTGGTTCTTTTCGGTGCGGTGCTCTATTCGGCATTTTTACTCAGCCCAAGCTCAAGTCTCAAGGAAAAGGAAACGATTAATTCAGTGTTTGACTTAGTATTAAGTTGCGAGAGGAACCGTTGAGAATTTGCACTCGTTATAAGGAATAGTATGGGGAACGAAATAAGGTCGATTTACAACTATAAATATTTGAAGTGTAATGTTGCGTAAATTGAGCACAGCGTGTCTCCTAATCCTTACCCTGTTTGACCAATACTCAAGTAGCGTTATTTAAATTTAGGTACGACAATTTTTCCAAAAAAATTGTTCCTTTGCCAAAAGAAAACGAGAACAATTTCACACTACTTGAAAAGATAGTTGAAAAAAAACTGATTAGTATTTCTCATTCATCTGTTATGAAATAATAGAAGTTAAGGAAGACTTCTTCGGTGAAAGGAATGATTGCCATTGACCTTTTGAAAGGCTGTTTTGACGCAGTTATCATTATTATCAGTTCTGTTGTTCTATTACACAAATTATCAAAACTGCACATCGTAAAACTTTGGTGTTAGCTGTCTTAGCCCGACGCTAGAGAATCTTAAATTTATTCCAAAATAGTGAAAGCGATCAGCCATTTTAAACTAAAATACTCGTAGTATGTTGAGTTTAATCGCCTGCCTTTGTAAAACCTGATTGAAGCATCGCATGCAGACGGCAAAAAACTGATTGAAGTGTTGCATGCAGACGGCAAACTTCAATAATCAAAAGGGAACTTTTGTGACCCTCCAGGGAAAAACAGGGAATAAGGCGATGACATAGGCACACGTGCAAGGTCACGGCACGCTAAGTATAACACCAATTTTATGAATATGCGCATATTTAACTGGCAAAACAAAGACCGGCATGGCAGCTTTTGTGTGGCATGCTCAATCCTTTGTCCCTACTAGTGTGCTAGGTGTCACGCTTACAGTGCGATGTGACACGCGTGCCCTATGGACAACAAAGTAAGTGAAACAAAACCACAGACAACAAAATGATTTGCAGCAAATAGAAAGACGAACCTTCAATGTTAATTTATCTGGGTGTCACGTTTTCGCTTCCCTTTTTTTCCATTTGAACTGAGAATTGACGGTTAAGTTTCTCCATTGATAAAAAGGGAGAAATTGGCATCTACCTCCACAATCAGGTGAGGTGTAAAGGCTACTGCAAAGCTCGGCCACAGCTAAATTCGCGTGCGATACTTTAATTTTTTACAGCTTAACATGAAAGGTTACACAGTATTTGACTTAAGTTTGAATTATCATGAGCATAAAATATTTAATCGTCCCTAATTTTCGTGTATTTCAGGTATACATCAGCCATTTTAAAAATAATTTTAAACACTTTTATCATCTCTTTTTAGATGAATACAGAAATCCACTTTTTGGGTCACCAAGGGAGGACCCCTTTCTTTTCCTTTGACATATTGTCGTCAGCGTTCAAATATGGAAACAGATGCTTCACTAAGTATACTGAGGGCATGCCTGACTATTTCAAACAAGCATTTCCTGCTGTAATGTCATATGAAAGAACATTTACATAAGAGGATGAAGGAGTTTCTACAGCCAGTGGGCTCATTAGGTATAAAAGTAGTGTTTGGTATGAGAGCCGGAATACTTTTAAAAAGAAATCTTCTGGGTCACTTTTTACTCGGAGCAGGAAGCGCCTTTTTGAAAGTATAACTTAGTGGTAAATCTCCCCAGAACGCTTCCTGTCTAGCTACAGGAGAACAATACCACACAAAAAGCATATTGACCAGAGAATGTATAGACTATTGCATTTTGAAATAGGCATCTGTGAGAAAATGGGTTTAATTTAGAAAACATCGTAGCCGAAATGACAAAATCAGAAAAATAAAAGGCACCAACGCATTATTTTACAGGGCACAGTGCATTATCGGTATGTGACACAGTTACAGGGGTAATTTTACATTTTTTTATGGATATCTCAAATTTACGTTAATTTTTACAATCTTAAGGGCAATCTATTCACGCACAAATCCATGTTTCATGACGAAAACTTTCCCGCTAATGTACCCATAATGGAAAAGAGGACAATTGGCTGGGATCCTTCCTTTGAGAAAATGACCGTCTCCAACAACATATTGAGAAGTGATGTGATTATGTTCATACTACCCAAAGGAGGTGGTTATCACAGGTGCCAGTTTCACAATTCTTACAAGTAAGGGCCTGTTTACATGGAGGTGGGGGACCCCATGTAGGTGAGGTAGCCCGCCTAGCCGTGGTCGAAAAATAAAATGCGTTTATATGCAATCTTACAACTCCGGGGTGCTGGGGTGAGGTTTCTTAAGGTTGCTGTTGCGCTTGCAATTAGGGAGTTTGAACACAGGCGTCCCAAGCTCACATCTCGAGAAAGACGAAAGATTTATTCTCGAACATGTTTTTATTTATTAATGAAAGCGTCACGTGTTGTGTTACGCGGTGTTAGGTTAGGAATCGTAGACTTAATACGTCATGAGAAATTGTTGGGGAAACGAAATATGGCCGATTTACAACGCTAAATATTCCGAAATGTAAACATTTTATACTCCTTGTATGTCCATTGCGGTTTCTGGTGATTTCTGCTATGAGATGGCTAGGAAATGTACAAAGTTTTAAATCATATGTGTTTAGCTTTTGAGCTTTTTGCCCTAAATGCGACCCCGGCTAGGCGGGTTACCCCATCTTGAGACGTTTACATGGCAAATTGTCACCCCGGCTGACAGGGTTACCCTACCCGGCAGACCGGGCAATCCGCCTTGGCAGGTTACCCCACCAATCATGTAAACGTGATCAAGATAAATTAGAGATTATATGGAAAGGCGGGACCACACCGTCACTAGGCACCCGTGGTTCTAAAATAATTTATTGATGCTGACGGTGTAGTCCCCGGCGAGGCACAGTTTTGCTAAAGAGGCAGGGTTACCAAGCTGGTTTTCAACGGTTGTGTGTCGTAGTGAATGTGTACGTAGGCCATGAGAAACGATTGTAATCAATTTCATTTATTCTTTTAGTTAAAATACCAGTTGGACAAGGCGCTATTTCATTAGTCAATGCTTTGATAATTTCAATGTCAAACACTAAAAAAGGAACAGGGATCCTCGAGGGCGGTACACGGACACAAATGATTACATAATCAGATGATTTGGTTTCATAAACTGAGGTCACAACGTGACTCGGCTGACAGAGGATTAACACTCGAAACGTCTTCTTTGGAATCACTCTTAAGTTAAAAAGCACATTATCAACTCAGTTGAGAAAAGAAATTATTAAAATAGCTTAATTACAGCGAGAGCCCCAATGAAGCAAGAGGCCCACTAACGACAACGAATATTACTGTGAAGTCACAAGAACATTCGTGAGCTAGTTACATGACCTGTGAAGAATCTCGACAGAAATAGAGCTCATTAACATCTGAAACACCACAGAAGATATCGATAACCTTTACTCCATTTGCTGAACTGTTGCATGTCAACCAGATCACCAGCCCTTATTTCATCGATATGATTCACAACAATACGCCGCCGAGTGAAGTTCAGCTTTATGGGTGTATGTAATTCCTTTCCTAATTGAAGGAATAACGCTCGAAACGTCTTTAGAATGGCTCATGGGTTAAAATTTACATTATCAACCCTTTTAATAAAAGCAAATATTATAATAGTTTAATTGGAGTAAGAGGTCTGATTAAGCAAGAGGTCCATTCATTGCTTTACCTGATTTCATCCGCAGGTTAAATGAAAATAATTTCTTTATAGATAAAGCTCAGATTTCTTACATGGTTAGTAGCAGCCCCCAATAACTGAAATAATGATAAATGTTTTAGCTTCAATGAACGCGTTTATCGTTTATCGTTGTTGGGTTTTGAACGCCGATTTGAAGGAAACATTTGCTCATTTGTCGAAGAGAAATGAACGTAATCAGCGTGTTAGACCGCTGAGAGCACGAACAGAACGGCAAAAATTTTGCTTGCGCCTTGTGGTAAATAATATTAAAGAATGCGCATCAACATTTCACGCTTAAGGACTAATCGATATTTTTGTGGCTGTGTCAAAAGTCAAGTGCTCCTGTGAAAGTTTGAGCTGCTTTCTGCGCCCTGTGCCAACCTTACGGGAATGCGGCTCGAGAGTGCCGTCACGCGGCCAAAACTATTTCAGTCACCAAATTTGTCTAGCACCGAATAATAAGAAACAATGAATATGTCGATGCCTTTTCAAAGGATGTAGAACAGCAAACATTTGCAAATCTTTTCTCTGGTGATACAGTGCCGAACCCGCCAACGAGTTTAAAACTACTGCGGTTTTACCTTATGCTAAAGGTCTGTCCAAACAGCTTCGCCGTTGCCTACAACAACAAGGTGTACGCGCTGTTTTCAAGTCGGAGACTACGCTAAGATCTCAGTTAGTACGACCGAAAGACGCCGTCGACCCGGCTAAACAAGATGACGTAGTTTACAGAATTCCCTGTGAATGCGGCAAGGCATACATCGGAGAGACTGGAAGACCTATGCAAGACAGAATTAAGGAGCACGATCGAGACATTCGACTCGCCCGTACCGAGACCTCCGTCGTTTCAGAGCATGAAAGCCACTCTGGAACGAAGTAAAGTTTATTAATCGTGACCCTTATTACTGCACGCGCAGGGTCAAAGAGGCAATTCATATAAGACATTTCATTTCATTTTATTTTATTTTTATTTAAACACGGTCAATTCATCAGCCTAAAAAATATATATCACATACGCTAGAATATTTAAAACTCAAACTACATACTATAACACTAAAAGCTGTTTTCCGTGAGTGCTGTGCGTTAGACTTAAAGAATGTCATTGATCTTACGTTTAAATACCCCCAGAGACTCTGTGTTCGTTATATCGCACGGTAGACTGTTCCATAATGTGGCGCCATTGTAGCTAAAGCTTTTTCGGTAATAATTAGTGCGCGGTAATGGAACGTTGAGCTTACTTTCAGAGTCCCTGAGGTCATAAGCAGAGTCACGCCACGTAAACTTTGAACACAGATACTTTGGAGCTAGCCCGTGCAGACATCTAAACATCATGGAGGCTTTGTGAATTTCCTGCTGGCGTGCAAGATTTTTCCACCTTAAAGACTCGAGTAGCTCAGTTGCATCAGCATCATAGTTTGAGAATGTCAACACACGGGCTCCTCTATTCTGCAATTTCTGCAGTTTGTCTCGTAGCGTTTTCCCACAGTTACCCCAACCAATGTCTCACTAATCAAAGTGAGGTTTTACTAAGGCTTGGTAAACGAGATGTAAGGTTGATGCTGGGATCAGGTCCCTAATTCGCTTTAGGACCCCAATACCAGAGGCGATCTTTTTGGTTAATTTTTCGATGTGACTATGCCAATCGAGTTTATCGTCTATTATTACACCAAGCGATTTCGTAGCTGTAACCTGGCTCACTTGAGTATTGTTTATTGTAATTGTTGGTGAAGCTGTGAGAGTATTCAGTCTCTGCCTCGACCCTATTAGCATGAATTCGGTTTTGGTCATGTTCAATGTAAGACTTCACCCTAACAACATCAATAGGGATAATGAAATAGAAATTCCAGAAGCGTGGATGCCCACGATCAAAAAACACAACAACAAGAGAGCTGTGCAACAGCGGACCGCCGAGGGAGCAAATCACTGAATGTATAACAAGGATCGAAATGCACCAATTAGAGCTGTTGAAATACAACTAATCACAGCAGAGCATCATGCTTTATAAGATCACGCATGACCAGTCGACCTCATCGCCTGAAGAAGATTAGCAGTATGCAGTTGGAACATCGCGACAAACGAAAAACTTAGCTTTTATTATTACTAAGTAATTACGATTTTCAGAAACTCTCAAACATGAGCGAGAGAGCGCGCTGAGAGTTCAGTTCGCGAGCGAACCCTACTGTTTAATTTCAGATGTCATGTAAGCCAGATGATACAATAGAAGTGTCTGAAAAGTGACGCGGCATTAACGCCTGAATAACTGTCGATGACAACATACATTAAGCTTACACGTTCATTCGTACATTTATGGACAAGCTATTATTAATTGATGAACGACTTTCAGCAACTTCCAAACATGAGCGGAGAGCGCGCTAAGAATTCGGTTCGTAAGCGCATTGTCCACATTTAAAGCAAGTATCGCGCGAATGATTGACCAGTTTTGGATAAGATAGAATGAAATATGACAGTAGCGAGGACAGAAATTGTGTGTTACGCTTGAGAACAAGTAAAACTAGCCGCTTCTGCTCATTGAGGTCTGGAAAAAGGAAAAGAAGCTTAAACTGTGCTGAAACCACTCACAACATCAATTCTGAAGGCCACAAAGGCGTTTCAAGAAAATACTGCTGGCATTTAATCGAAATTCAGCTCAGCTGTCCGGCACAAGTGAGATACATGGTTGACTACCAAATGATCATATGATCGTAACAAGCGATCGGGACTGCCCGGAACTCTATTGTCTGTTCTCTGTTTATACATTTGACGGACAGTTCAGTTCCACTGGGTATTCGCAACTGCAGGCAATTTTGTATTTGTAAGGGCCAATCGCAACCAATTAGAGTCCATCGAGAACCCACATGGGAGCTCTAGTGCGACCTTAGTTATTTATGCCATTAAGTAAGTATATGTCATATATTAAAGTTCACACGGCAACCAGGTGGACAATCAGACATAGTTTGATGCTACTCTGGTTTGCAGATTTAATGAATGTAACTGAAGAAGTTACAATTCATAGACCCAACGTTTCGACACTCCTGTCTAGTGCCTTCATCAGGGGTGATCTAAACGCTGCAACAAGAGGTCCTTTTATATGATCACTAATTAGCGGCCTTTTTTCTGACGAGGTGTAAATAGGCGTCAGGAAGCAAACCGCCATCGTCACGATTTAAAGGAGCGTGGCCGGAGTTAATATGCCAAGCCTCCAAACAAAGGGGCTGGTGGTAACGCCGATTAGTGGTGATAATTTTAGAATTATCCCACCCAATTGTATGGTTGGTTAGGCATGTATGCTCCGATAAAGCTGAATTTTCCTTTTTGCAAAGAAAAACCGCTTTTTGGTGCTCTTTTAACCGTGTACCAAACTGACGTTTGGTCTGTCCGATGTATTCGTTGTCACAGTCATTGTAAGGAATAGAATAAATAGCGTCGGTTCGTTGTTCTTTCATGACAGAATCCCTAGGTTTGGCGAAAATATGCCCCAAAGTCTCAAAAGGTTTTTGAGCAACTTTCATGTTGTGGCTATTCAAAATTCTCTTGATGGGTTCCCTAACATCCTCTAAGTAAGGAATAAAAGCAAAACCAGTCGCTGGTCCCTTTCATCAAGAGCGTTACTATTTGTAACTGGTTTTTGGCAGATACTGAGAAAAGTTTTTGTATAGCCATTTGCCTTTAGGACATTGGAAACATATTTCCTCTCCTCAGCCTTCGAATCGAGTGAAGATGGTAGACAGTCAGCCCTCTTAAGTAAATAGCAAATAGGGTGGTGAGAATCGAAAGCGAGGTATTTGTCGGTGTGGGTAGGTTTACGGTAGACACTTGTCTCTAAATTACCCTGAACCCCTCTGGACACATGAATAAAGGGGTAAGTTTCTAAAGAAACTGTTGTGCTGCGTCGGTGGGAGAGTATAGCAGGTAATTTAGTGTTAACAACTGGGTTGAAAACATAAATTAGCCACCGTAAAGGGTAAAAAAGCTGACATTTCGAGCGTTAACCCTTTGTCAGAGCGATTAGAGGAATTGTGGGTTGTGTGTGGATTTATATGCAGAAAGTGGAGCTACGCCATTGGTGGGAATATGGTGACGAGAAAACAGGAATAAATTAGTTTAATGAAAAGCGCTCGTTGATTCCGTGGGGATTAAGGGTGCCGATTTGGAATATAATTTTTGTTTCTAGTGTTTTACGGCTTCCTGAACTGCCTAGATGTAAGTCCTCGTCATTTCTTTCCACATCGCGAAGGTGTTCTCGGAATCGTTCACCCAGTCGTCTTCCTGTTTTGCCGATGTATAAGTTATTGCAATAAGTGCAAGTTATGCAGTAAATAACATTGGCGGAGGTACACGTAAAGTGATCAATGATCTTAATGGATCCTTTGGGTCCCGATATTTTCTCTACGTTATGAATGAAAGGACAAGTTTTGCATCGTGGGAGAGCGCATTTAAAAGTTCCAGATTGGTCATTGGTTTGAAATGAACTCCTGACTAAAGAGTTGCCTATGTTTTTGTCACGTTTGAATGAAATAAGTGGGGGTTGCGAAAAGATAGTGCCAGTCTCTGAATCGTTTTGGAGTAATTTAAAATTTTTAAGAATGATAGATTTAACTGCGTGGTTGTGGGGGTGAAATGTAAGAGTAAATGGAATGCGGTCAGTGTTCTCCTTCTCGGCTGTTTGTAGTGCTACCTGTCGATCGATTTGTTGGGCACGGCGGTAGCCCGCTTGAACGACAGAAACAGGATAGCCACGTTTATCGAAAAACTGGCACATTGCCTCTGATTTTTCGGAAAAATCAGAGTCGTCACTACATAAACGACGAAGTTTGAGAAACTGTGAAAAAGGTATGGAGTTCTTGACGTGTGATGGATGTGAGGATGAATACAACAAATAACTATGTGAACTCTGGACACAGTTAAATCAAGAAAGGGCAAATGTCTATCCTTTTCACGCTCAAGGGTGAATTGGATCGACGGCTCTACTGAATTCAAATGCGACAAGAGGCGCTCCGCTTCATTTCCGGATACCGCAGAAATAACATCATCGACATATCGTTTCCAGAAAAAGGGTTTAACCGGTGAAGTGGCTAAGGCCCTTTGTTCCACGTCTTCCATTACCATGTCAGCAATGACAGCAGAAACGGGCGAACCCATCGCTGTACCAAAAACTTGTTGATAGTAGGTGCCGTTATATGTAAATTGCGTGGTTTTGAGGCAAAAAGACAGCAGATGAATAATATCCTCCACGGGCAAATAAGTTCTTTGTCCCAGGGAAGCATCTTCTCTGAGTCTTTCCTCCGCAACCTTAACGGCAAGATCAACTGGGATTTTGGTGAAGAGCGAAACAACGTCGAAAGATACTAATTCATCACAAGCGTTAAGAGTTTTATCTGTTATGAAATGAGCAAATTCGCAGGAATTTTTGACAGTGTAATCAGTATTCCCAACAACAGGCGACAAAATTCTCGCAAGATAACCAGAAATTGCATAAGTCGGAGAATTAACAAAAGAGACAATGGGTCTCAAAGGAATTCCCGGTTTATGAATTTTAGGTAAGCTATAAAAACGTGGACATAAGCCGTCACTACTGTATAACATTTTGTACGTAGAGTCACTAATTCTACCAGCTTTTTTCAAATCAAGCAACATTTTTTTAACTTTCTTTGAGTTTTACTGGTAGGGTCAATGTTTAAGACAGCATACGTACTCTTGTCATTAAGCAAAGACAAAGCTTTGTCGGGAAATTGCTGTTTGTCCATAACCACAACACAATTACCCTTGTCAGCAGATAATACGAGCCTGTCCGGATCCTTTTTGAGAGCTATAAGCGCATTGAAAACATCCTTTTGAATGTTTTTGGGAGGAGGTTTAGCACGCCTGAGTATGCTACTTACTTCCGCTCTTACCAAATGCCTGCGATCGTCGTTGAGTTGAGAGATACTCTCCTCAACAGCGGCGACAATTTCGGCAGTCGGTATTTTGAGAGGAGCAATAGCAAACTTCAGACCCTTCTCTAAACCACTCCGTTCCAGCGCGGATAACTCCTTGGAGGAAGGGTTCATGACCCATTTATCTTTCAGAGATGAGCCTGAATTAACAGGAGACCTCTTACTGAGCAAGTGACGGAGTTTTCTGTTGTGTTTCTCTCTCTGTTTGGTAAACGTCTGCAGTTCTTTTGAACTGCAGAACTCCTCGACCCATGAAGTTTCGGAGTTGTTTATCAAAGCAGAGAGTTCACTAAGTGAACGAGAGAATAACGCACGCAAACGCAGTATGGAACTGTGACATTCATCCATTCGTAGCTTATTGCTCAGTTATCTGTGGCCGGCTATTTCTTCAAGAATTTTCCTAGACAATCGCACAACCGTGGTGGTGGTGCTAGGATTCTGTCTCGAGACTCTCTCAAAATCTCATTAATGGATGGGAAGGAAAACGAGTCCTTAAATTTTCGGAGTGGACTGTTAAAGTGTACGATCACTCTATGAGATATCTGATAGTGTATCGTCCTCCATATTCTTCGTTACACTCCGTTTCAACCTCTGTCGATGAATTCTCTCAGTTTTTAGAGAATGTTGTTATGTGTCCCGAGGCCCTTGTTATCTCTGGAGACTTCAACCTTCATTTAGATGACCTCCGTGACAGTGACACCAAAAAATTGGAGGATTTACTAGAAACGTTCAATCTTTCGCAATACGTTTCGGGCCCGACTCATTTATCGGGTCAGACCTTAGATTTAATTATTACTCGTTCCTCAGATGATATTGTTCTTGCTTCCCCTAAAACTACTTTTCCCATCTCTGATCATTTTATTATTCAGTGTCCTATTGGTTTCTCACGACCAGCTTTGTCATACAAAAAACTGACTTTTCGAAAACTCAAAAATATTGATATTGCTGCGTTCTCAGCTGATATTGCCTCTTCTATGCTTTGTGCAAGCGTACACTAGGACAACATTGATGCACCCTCCGACTGCTTTAACAAGATCCTTTCGACATACTGGATAAGTTTGCCCCGCTTAAAACCAGGACTATAGTTAATCGTCCAAAGGTCCCATGGTTTCATGATGTCCCCTTAAACAACTCAGGTGTCAACGTCGTCGCCTTGAAAAGAGAACCGTGAAAACTGACCTCCCTGGTGACTGGAATAATTACCATAAAGTTCGTAATCAGTACTTTGCATTTCTTAAATCTGCGCGTGTGAATTATTATTCAAACTTAATTGATCAGTGTGCGGGTGAATCTCGCAAGTTATTTCGTGTGGTTAATTCTTTGTGTAGGGAACCACTTGAGACAGCTCTTCCAGAGCACACTGACCCCACCACAGTGGTGTCCTCTGTGAAAAAAAAATGTACCTCTCCCTAAACTCCATTCCGGCTTCCGTAAGTATCACTCGACAGAAACTGCTCTATTAAAGATTCAATAGGACATCTTAATGCGTATGGATAATAAAGAAGTGACACTTCTAATACTCTTGGACCCTAGTGCTGCTTTTGACACCATTGAACATTCCATTCTTCTGAATATCTTGCAACAGGATTGTTGGAGTCGTCGGGACTGCTTTAAATCAGTTCGACTCTTTTCTATCCGGTCCCAAACAACGTTTACTAGTTTGTGATAAGACTTCTGATGACTTTAATCTGAACTGTGGAGTCCCCCAGGTAAGCTTTATGGGGCCTATTTTATTCAATCTCTACTTCTCCTGCCTCTTCAATATTATTTCTCAGCATCTCCATCGATCCCTTCTGTCCATGGTTATGCTGACGACACCCAGATTTACCTCTCTTTCCGACCTTGCTCCATCCATTCCGAAATTAACGCTGTCTCTGCGATTGAGATGTGCATTGCTGATGTTCGTTCTTGGTTTATTTCTAATCGTTTAATGATTAACGACGCAAAAACTGAATTTCTAATTATTGGCACCCGCCAACAACTTGAAAAAACATCTATTGAATCTATTATTATTGGTGACACCCTTATTAAATCTATAGAGATCTTCCGGAACCTTGGGTCCTGGATCGATGCCCATATGCGAATGAACGTTCACATAAGCAAGATTTGTAGCAAGGCTTTTCACGGATTATGCAACATAAGACAGATCAGAAAATTCCGGCCTTGCTGTTCAATCGACTAAGACACTAATCCACGACTTTATATCCTCACACCTTGAATTACTGTGACGCAATTCTCTTCGGTCTACCTAAATATCAACTCGATCGCTTACAGAAAGTTCAGAATGTTGCGGCTAGAGTGATTTCTCAGATTCCGAAATTTGATCATATCACGCCTGCACTTATCGACCTACATTGGCCCCCAAAAACGTTCAGAATTCAGTTTAAATTACTCCTCTTTGTTTACAGGTCATTACGCAACCAAAGTCCTCCCTACATTAAAGATCTTTTGTCCCTGAAACCAGCTACTTATTATGCTCTTCGCTCGTCTGCTCAATCTCTTCTGTTCGTTCCAAAAGCCAACTGCTCTTCACTTGGGGATCATTAACTATAAGAACAAGTAGTAGCCTCGCCATTTTTAAAAAGCAATTTAAAACATTTCTATTTAGGAAAGCTTTTAGTTTGTTTCAATAATTCTAATGTTTATTGCCTTTGAATATTGTAATTTTAATTAGTATAGAACTTTAACTTTTGTAAAGCGCTTCTGAATATTGTTTGTAGTTTTAGTGCTATATAAATTCCTTATCATTATCATTATCATTATCATTACCGCCAAGTTGCTGGGACTTACTATAAGCGCTAACCTTACTTGGAATGCACACATTAAAGAAGTAGTTAGGAAAGCTAATAAGCGATTGTATGTCCTCGTGCAGCTTAAACGCGCGAAATTATCGCTAGCAAATCTATACCTGCGTTAAGTCCGTGGTCGATTATGCCGTTCGGGTATTTTAGAACGCCCTGCCGCAATTTCTCATCAACGAGCTTGTTCGTCTTGAGGAAAGGGTGATCTCAATCATTATGCCCGGCACGAGCTACAATAATGCATGCGAAATCCTTGGCATAATACCAATGGTGGATTACATCGATTCATTATGTGATAAGCTTTTTCATAGCATCGCATTTGACAAGGACCATACGCTGAACAGCTTACTTCCGCCATTATATAAGATTCCAAGGTATAATTTAAGAAACCATCGCCTCTACAATATGCCATATGTCCGCACCAATAGGCCAAGAATCTCCTATACTTGCAATGATCGCCAAGCAAATCGAATTTTATAGGTAAATTTTTATCAGGGGAACTTGTAACGATAATTGTGGGTTATTTTCCAAATTATATATCATAGCTATATGAAGTGTATTGAGGTTTTATTACAATGGTTATCATTACTAGACCTCTTTTAAACATAGTTAGCATCTATATTATACTTTAGTCAATATTGTAACTTTTACAAATGTGAGTATGTAAACAATTGCGTAATTCAGCCTATGGGCTGTAATGTGATTTTAATAGACACGTACCTACTATCCTAGTCTGCCCACCCTTGCCCGCCAACATGGCTCATCGAAGGTGTTTTTATAAGTTCAACTCGAGTCCTTTCGTATAGATCTCCCAACTTCTCTTGAAATGAATAAAAATATCTACCTTTTTCTTAACATTTATTGGAATAAATGTGGAAAGTGACAGATTATAATGACAGGTTATCTCAACGTTCGAAGGTCGTTTTACGCCGCCTTGAACAGTAAAAAAAATTGCCCCAACATGTCAGCCTGGTGTCTCCAATGTTACCTCGATCCAGAGGTTGCCATCTACTTTGAACAAGGTTTGCTCGTGGATAAATTTATTCCACTAATAAAAAATGGGGGAAATTTAAAGGTCAAAGGAGAAAAGTTTTTGATGACTGAGCTATATTGGGACCAGCTCCTAAATAAGCTTACCGGTCGGAAATAAAGTCTAAGTACTTAGCTCGTCTAAGATAAAAGCAAATTCCAAAATTTTTCCTAATATTATGGTGGTTCTGTTGATTTTGGGCCAAAGGAAATATCTCTGAGCGAAGTTGTCGTAATGGGATAAATATTTGGTTACCCATTGAAAGTAAACAATCGATCCCGCATAAACGCTCTAAGGGTTGATTTCGCTTACCGTTTTTCGAGAACGAGTATTTTTTAAAGAAAAAATCTTTATGAATTCCAACCTATTGGTGACTTACCCAAATTTCATGCCTTCCTGGATGCTTCCCTGTTTTTTTGTTGCTGTTGTTTTTTTGTTTTGTTTTGTTTTTTCCACCAACGGTTAGCGCAAAATGTTTGCATTTGGCGCTCTCACAAATGGCATAGACATGAAATGAGTGTTGTTTGAAATAAACAACACTCAGTGGTGAGCTAAGATATAGACTGAGGTGGGTTTAAGTAAGTTTATCGAGGATAAGTAATTTACTGCCATTAGGAGTCGCTCCTTATTAAGATTATTACTCGTTGTTTAATAAAGTAGTGAGTTTGTAGGATTGCAGGGTTTTTCTATAGGTTAGATTATACCCTAACAATGGAAATCACTTACCAGAATTTATCCTGAAACAAAGGCTTCGGAACTCGAGTTTTCTTATATTAAACAGGAAGTTTGCAGGTAAAGATATATGGTCAGGGCAATTAAGAGGACGCATACCTTGTATAGTGAAGAAAAAGGTAAGAAAAAGCAAAGGTTGAATTCAATGGCCCAGAGCGAGAGGTTTTGATTGCTCAGAAGGATAACGAAATTGAGGAGCTGCAGTCTATTCAGGAGGATCGGGGGGTTGCCGATGATGAGAATGAAGACCAGCTATAGTAGAAAGAGCAAGAAAAAGGATAACATAAAATCAAGAGCGGATTGATGCACTTGAGAATGAGAGAGAAGAACTTGAAGAAGGCACTTTAGTAAGAGAAAGAGTGAGAAACGTATTCAAAAAATACAGTTTCACAGTCTCAGCTGTTGTCCTGGCAGTAGGACCAACAATTGGAGTGATTGTGAGCGCATTGACAAGAAGTCTGAAGCCTGTCGCCAAAGAAGTTGGGGATGGTTTTCAGACTCTTGGAAGTAAAAAGAGCTGCAATTCTCCCAGGTCTCATAGGCTCAATAGTTGGCTTCGTTTTTAAGTTTATTGGATCGGTGATCAGCTTCCTCGGACAGATGCATGGCCTCTGATAAAATGGGAGTAGCCATATTGATGGTTGAGTGCTTTCATAAGAACAAGCGATGAATCAAGAACGCTGATACCAGTCCAGCTATAATCAGTCGTACCTTACTATATCATGATTTGTCTCATATAACCTGGGTTGTGTCCTGACCTGAACCTCAGCTGAAGTCTTGTTAATTTCATTTGAAGGGTGCCTCTTCAAAACCTGCTCCCCTGGGGCTTGCCGCCAAGCGCCCTGGCCAAAGGCTTGAAAGGTGCCCCTCTGAACCTGGATCCTTCGGACCTCGGCCTGTTGATCTTTGATGAGCCCCCATTCATTCTTCCCTACACCGACTGATTTCACCTCCAAATTCACTCGTCTGTTGACTCCGAGCTTCATATCGGAACTTGCCTTCTTCAGGCTATTACAGACAACCATACTCTGAGTGTTAAGAAGAAGATTTGAGGGCATAAGCCAAGTGCCTTGTGAGTGTGGAAGATCAAGTCGTACTCTTGCCTCGTCAGTCGTGAGCTGAAACCTCTGAACACTCTTTGAAATGTCTGGCTTTCTGGTCGCATCCTCAACCAATATAAGGAACCCACCTTGAGCTTCCTTCGCGCTTCCTCATGAACCCAGGATTGATGATCTGATCTTGGCTTGTGCAACGAGAATGCAATAAAAGAATACCTCAATGGACTGATTCAGTCTGGCCATCCCAGCTTGTGTCAGACCTTCTGACTTACGTACTATAAAGAAGTCAAATTGCCTCTCAACTTTGTTAACGTATTATCCTTCCTTATGAAATAAATAAGACTTCCTTTGATGTCTTTTCCACCCTCATCGCTGAACATTTTTCTTTCAGGATAAGTTATTGAATGATCTGCTTCAGGGCCTGCTGGTCCGCGAATTAGACCTAGTTCAATCCTAAATTCTTCACATATTCGTGTGAATGATAGCGTGTTATAATCGTTATTTCTCTGGCTGAAAGTTGGGTCACCTGGACGAGTTGATTCACTCTGAA